ACGAAAGTCTGCTTCACTCAGCCCAGCATTCAAACGAGATTCTCCAGACACACCCAGAGCCGCATCTACCCTGTGTCTGCACCGTGTGGCCTGGTCAGCTTGACAACACATACAGCTAACCCTCATGTGTCCCATTGTGGCTTGAATTTGCATATTTCTGACTAATGATGTTATGTGTCTTTATTATTAGCCTTTTGTATATCTTCTTTTGTGACTTTTTGTTAAAACCTTTTGCCCGTTTTAAAAATGGGATTGTCTTCTTGGTCTTGAGTTGTAAGTTTTAAATACGTTCTAGATATAAGTCCTTTGTTAGGTTTACATACACTGAATGTTTTCTCCTCGTCTGTGGCTTGTCTTAAATAATTGTCTTTCAAAGTTTTAGTTTGATAAGGTTTAATTAATGAATTTTTCTTTTATAGTTAGTGCATTCTGTATCCCTGTGAGAAATCTTTGCCTACTTAAGGTTGTGAAGGTTTTCTCCTACGTTCCCATCTAGAATTCTATAGTTTTAGCTTTGACGTTTGAGTCCGTGGCCATTTAAGAATTTTTTCGGACCGAGTGAGGTCCGGGCTGAGGTCCTCCCTCTCCCATGTGGCTGTCCAGTTCTGCATTGTTGTGGAGCAGGTCCTCTCTGCCCTGGGTTGCTGGGCTCCTTGGTTGGGGGTCCGTTTCTGGGCTCTCTGCCCCGCACCGATCCTGGTGCACGGCGGCACCAGGGCCCCACTGTCTCGTTCGATATAGCTTCATGGTAGCTGTTGGAATCAGATACCGTTGCCATGTATTATCAGCGTCGTAGGAATATTTTTTTATTGTGGTCAGACATAACGTGAAACTAACCATCTTCATCACTTTTAAGTGTGCAGCAGTATTAGCTGTATGCATGTAAGGTCTCTAGAACTTTTCAGCATGCACAGCTGGAACTATGTACACGTTTGTGTTGAGCAGTTAAAAGTGCGGTTGACTGGGTGCTTATAAACAACAGAAAGTTCTTCTCCCAAGTCCTGGAGGCTGGAAGTCCAAGACGAGAGTGCCAGGGTGGTCTGGTTCTGGTGAGGGCCTCTTCATGTGTCCCATGTGGTGAAGACAGCCAGTGGTCCTTTTAGAAGGATGCTGATCCCAGTCATGAGGGCCACACCCTTGTAACCCGGTCACCTCCCAAAGCTCCATCCCCGTATGCCCTCCCGTTGCGGGTAGTATTTTTGTCTGTGTGTTACGAGGGTGGGGACACATTCAGTCTGTTGCACCATTAAACCCCTCCCCTTTCCTCCAGCCCCCGGTAGCCTCCCTCCTTCCTTCTGTTTCTGATCGTTTGGCTGCTCTCCCTCCGTATCTCACGGGAGAAGAACCATACAGTTTAGTCTTTTTGTGACTGGCTATTTCACTTGGCATAATGTCCTGCAGGTTCATCCATGTTGCAGCATATGGTAAGATTTCCTTCTTTATAAGGCTGAATAACATTCCATTGGGTGTATACACCACATTTTGGTAGTCTGTCCACCCGTCCACGGACACTGGGGTGCTTCCCTGTCCCAGCTGCTGGGCATGATGCTGCCGTGAACACGGGGGTGCCGGCATCTCATCGAGACCCTGCTCTCCGTTCCCCGGGGAACACACCCAGACGTGGAATGGCTGGGCTGTGGGCTCATTCTGTGCCTAGTGTTTTGAGGACCCTCCGCGGTGTCTTCCACGGCGGCTGCGCCCCACGTCCTCGCCGAGGCTTGTCGGTCCCGCTCCTTTAAGAGCAGCGGTCCTGCGGGGGGTGGGGTGGGGTCTGCCCGTGGTTTTGACCCGCATTTCCCTGATGTTGGTGATGCTCAGCACCTTTCCCCGTGCGGGTCGGCCACTGTGTATCTTCTTCAGAGAAATGTCTGCCCACCTTGGCTGGGTGTTGTGTCTTTGCTGTGGAGGTGTTTTCCGCCTGCCCCGGGTACCAGAGCGTGTTCCACCGGGTGCCCTCCCCATCCTGGGCTGCGCACTGCAGATCGCTTCCTTCGCTTCGCACGAGTCTCATGTTTGATGTAATCCCATTTGTCTGCTTTTGGTTTTGTTGCCTGTGCTTTTAAGACTACATTTTAATATTTGCCTCTATTTTGGAATTCTTTCAAAATCCCTTGGACTTAGAGTCACCTTACCCACATTTCTTAGGCTGTGGATTGGTTTCTTTCCCTCTAGCTTGTATCGTTTACTGGTGTCCTTCCTCACTGCCCTTTGCTGTATCTTATTTCCTCTCATTGATTTTGTTGTTTGTCTCACCGAGGGGCTCTCTGAGTAATTTTCCTCCCAGAAAAGGGTTGTGGGCGCTAACCTTGGCAGTCCCTGCATGTCCAGAAGTATCTTAATCTTGCCCTTCTTCTGGAATGATAGTTTGGCTTGTTCAGGATCTTCAGCATTTCTGAAATTCCATTCCTTCATTTGGCAAAAGTCCTTTTGGGAGGAGCCTGTGAAGGAGCTGCTGGTGACTGAGCAGCAGGGGATAGCTGGGGAAAGGCAGGGGAGGCAAGACCCCAGGCTGGGTGCCCTGTGGGCAGAACGCTGAGCAGCTTTCCGGGGCCAGCTGCCTGGTGTCCATGGGACGGAAGCTGGCACAGGAGGCTGCTTAGTGCTCCCGGGGTGGGGGTGGTGCTCTGGGCGTAAATTCTGGGAGCTCCAGGCCGGTGGGGGGCACAGGACAGGTGGGGGTGTGGGCAGCAGAAGGTGAGGTCCTGAGAGCTCCGCCCTGTGGAGCTTGTGACTGGGTGTGGGGCTGGAGCACCGAGGGCAGCTCGTGAGTCCTTGGGTGGGAAGAGTAGCCATAGAAAGCGCCTATCCGGGCCATTGGGAGGTCAGACTCTCAGGAGTGGAGGCTGAGGGGCTGACTCAGGTCCAGGGGAAGACGCAGGCCACGTGGTGAAGAGCACAGTGGGGCTCACAGCCCCCAAGAAGTGTACAAAGTCCTGACTTAGTTTCTTTTATCAAAAGATAGAGGAATTAACATGGGCTGTAACCTTACAGTATAAATTGCTGGGCCTGGATATCGATAATGGACTGAAGGTGAATATTAAGAGTGTTGCCTGCTTCCTTTTTGGATAAAAGTTAAACATGGAGACCAAGCCTGTAGCGGTTGCTTCCGAGTCTCCTTTTGCCTTCCCTTTGGCTGAGGGATGAGCCTCAGGCCGAGTGTCATGAGCAGAAGGCAGGACCTGGTGTTCACTGAGCCTGGGTACGTTGACCACAGGGAGACCTGCTGCGTGTATAACGGCGCTCACCTGCTGCTCACCTGGATTTCAGCTGCCTGGAGTCGGGGACGTTCCCGTCACCTGTGTGTGCTTGGGCTGACGGTGTGTGTGGTGTATGGCTTTTTCCCTTTTCCTATGTTATGGTTGCTTTGATTGTATTTCTTGAAATGTAATTGTAATGTCTGAATCAGAATAAAACTTGGAAGCTGTTGTTGCGGACATCATGGGATTGCAGTTCACTTTTCAGTAATTCTGCTTATTGTGTTTTATGAAAGTGTCGGCCACGTCAGATTGGAAGCACACACCTACCCTGGAGCAGACGGTTTGCAGGGCCCCTGGGGTGGGTGGGGGCTCTGAGAACAGTCCCAAGATTCCGAAAGGGAGGACGCGCGCGTCAGCGTCCCACCACCCGCCTGGCCTCTTGTCCAGGAGGGGTCTAGCAGATGCATGCACCTGGGTCTCTGTGCTGTGCTGTGCTGTGTTGTTATGAGGTACGTTTGCCAAAACTGAGGCTCAGGGCAGGGAGCTCTTTGGACGTGGAGGACAGGGCTCGTGTCTGAACCTGGCCACCTGCTCGCAGCTTCACCCTTGTCCACGTGCCACAGTGGGAGGCTCTTCAGGGATTGAAGCCAGGACAGGCCTGGTTAGGTGGTGGACCTCGGTTGTATGGGTGTTGCGGGCGCTCTGTGCCACTCCACGTTAAGGACGGCCCTTTGGCTTCATCTAAAGACTCTGCTGTCTTGCTTGTGCTAGACTGTGGCGTGGTTGCAGGAAAGGCTACTAGACCTGGCTGCTGGGGATGAGCCCTCCCTGGGTGGCATACGTGGTCTGTCTAATGGCATTCTGCCTCTTGAGCTGGTAAGACCCGAGGTGTGGACAGGACTCTTTACCCACTGCCACCGTGTCCCCAGGGCAGCCTGAGGGGGTGGCAGCTGGGGCACGGACAGTACTGGACCCCTGGCCGGGTCATGGGGAAGTCCTGCTGCAGGGTCCCCCTGCTGGTGTCTAGGTCCCGTCGGCATCTCTGCTCCTGGGAATCCCAGCTCCTTCCTGGCACACATTGGTGCCCGGCAGCTGTTGGAGCTGGCAGTGAGGACTTCCACGGTGAACCGCTGGCCACCGGGGTGTCCACGCCGCGTGAGCAGCATCTGATGAGCGCGAAGCGCTAGACCCACAGCCAGGACGAGGGCCGGGAGGAGTGCTGGCAGCTACTCTCTCTGGAAGGACAGCAGGGTAACAGTGACATGTCATCCTTCCTGGGTCTTTTGTCAGGTGTTCTGTAGGGAAAGGTGGTTTTGTCACTGGGGCGAATGAGCACTGTCTGATGGAGAGGCGTTAGATGTGCACCCGTGGTTTCTGCGGATGGGCTGAGGCCCCAACCCGTCTGTGCGCCCCCTTCCCGGGATCCCAAGTCTGCGGCACCCCCGGGCCCATTGCAGGCCCCTGCAGGCTTTCACATCTGATGGATCTCATTTTGGTCGTCTCCTTAAGCTGTTTGTTATTCTGGATGAACTTCGGGATTATTTTGTTAGTGTGCCCTTAATGCTGCCTCTGTGGATTTGGGGACAGCATGCGTCTTCCCATTAGTGTCCGCATCCAGGAACACAAATGACCCTCCGTTCACACAGGGCTCCTGTGGGCCTCAGCCAGGTGTTAGAGTAGACGTGTCTTTAGAGCGCTAGAGGCCTAGGACCTGTGCCTGACAAAACGCCACGAAGGGGGTCTGGGCGTCCCACACGTAGGACTGCTGGTGCTGCTCACACACCAATTACCTCCCTTCTCCAGGTGCCCTACGAAACACTGAATAAACGCTTTCGGGCTGCTCAGAAAAACATTGACCGAGAGACGAGCCACGTCACCATGGTGGTGGCTGAGCTGGAGAAGACCTTGAGCAGCTGCCCCGCTGTGGACTCCGTGGTCAGCCTTCTGGATGGTGTGGTGGAGAAGCTCAGCGTCCTCAAGAGGAAGGTCGGTGTGGCTTCTGGACCGTCCTGCCTGTGCGTGGGCCGTAGCGTGGGTCCAGCGGCCCAGCCTTCCCATGTACCCAGGCATTCCCCAAAAGGGGCTGTCTTCTGTGGGAGCCGGGACACAGCGGAGACCAGGCAGCCCTGCGATGGGGAGGTGGGCTCCTACGGCCAGAGTGTGGGCAAGGCGCGTCCCTCCATGCTGTCTGTGCTCTGCAGCCCCTGTGGGGCTGGAGGCTTGCTTCCAGTCCCATGCTCCTGTTCCTGCAGGGCTGGGTTGTCCTCACTCCAGAGTGTCCCAAGCGCAGATAGGAGGCAGATGATTTACTCCTTTTAGAATTTCCCCTCAAAGCTTCATGTAGGAAATTTCTCATTTCTGGGAGAGGGAGGTAGGGTGCACTGCTGCACCCACCGAATAACCCAGAGAACGCAGCAAGATACTTTACAGCGTCTTACTGAACGTATCAAAGGGCTCATGAGACGAAAGTTTATCACCAGAATTGGACGGCAGGGGCCAAGAGGCGAGGAGGGCAGGACCCATGGCTGCCTTGCTGGCCAGTGCCCGGGGCCAGCTGGGGGGCAGGGGGAGGCCAAGGCTGGTGGTGGGACCTGGTGGCGGTCCGTGTCAGGTGGGGGTGCCCCAGGAGTGGACGCGCTGTGGCAGAGCATCACGGCCCGTTTCAGAACACCGGGGGAGCCAGGACCCTTCTCTTCAGCCTGGTGTAAGTGGTCCCAGCTGGTGGGGCCTCACCAAGTGCACTTCTCAGGGGGAGGACACCGTCCGTCAGAGCGTTAGGGGTCTGACGGAGGATCGCCAGGTGCACAGGATGCTGTGGTTGAGGTGCGACAGAGACAATAGACACTGCCCAGATTTCAGACGTAGAGATTATCAGGGACCAGACTTGACTGCGTCTGAAGAGTAAACAGACAGCTGAGAATCGTTGCAGGGGACATAAAGTATATAGCGTGATTGGGAGTTTAAAATAAACCAAATAAAACTTCAAGAAATTAAAAGTATAATAACCGAAATGAAAAACTCAAATGTTTGCTTTTATAACACACTTTTTAACATTTAACAATCAGACAAAGCTCAAGAGAGAATTTGTGAGCTGGAAGGTAGGCATGAGGAAATTACCTAGAAATTCTAGCCGCACACAGAGCTAAAAACACAGGACTACATAAGAGGGTGGGAAGCCTCAGAGACTAGAGTGGAGACCGTGTTCAACCAAAGTCAAGAGGGCACGGGAAGAGTGGCCGAGAGTTTCAGAACTGATGGATAAATAAAAATAAACCTAGGACTGCACATCGTGAAACTGAAAAGAGAAAAATCTTAAAAGCAGCTGGATGAAGAAAACCACTTCCAAAGGAGCGACAAATACCCTGGCAGCCAGAAAGCCGTGGCGTGTGCTCGAGGGAAAGGCGGGCCGGCCAGGGAGCCGGGTGGGCCTGCGCACCGCCAGCCAGGTGGACGCCACGGTGAATCAGCCTGCGATGCGGCCCCTCGGCGGCACTGACTACATGTCAGGTGCTGGACGGTTGGCTGCTGTCCGGCCAGCGCCGATACAGAACACGTCTGCGGAGCTGTATTAATTTTGAACAAACTTGACTTTGAGGGAAAAAGTATTATAAAAGAAAGTCGCAAAATAACAACAGATGGTTTAATTAATCAGGAAGCTGTAACAAATTTAAAATTATGCACATGTGGCAGCATAGCTCCAGACTCCGTAAAGTAAAAGGTGACATTGCTGAAAAGAAGGTGCAGACCCAGAGTGGTAGGTGTTGACTTGCCTCTGGGTAATGACAGGTGCAGCCAAACCGGCCTGGGGCGGTGGGCGGGGGGGGGACGACTCCCCCTTTTGCTTCCGTCGCCCAGCCCGGGGACATCCCCCCCGTGTCGCCCTGTTCGTGAGGGTGAGGGTAGGGGCAGCCGGGTCACCGTCCCACCCTGAACCCCTGTGTGCTTGCGTCTCAGGCGGTGGAGTCCATCCAGGCCGAGGACGAGAGCGCCAAGCTGTGCAAGCGCAGGATCGAGCACCTCAAGGAGCACAGCAGTGACCAGCCGGCGGCGGCCAGCCTGTGGAAGAAGAAGCGCATGGACCGCATGATGGTGGAGCACCTGCTGCGTTGTGGGTACTACAACACGGCTGTGAAGCTGGCCCGGCAGAGTGGCGTCGAGGTGGGCGCGCGGCCTCTTGCCGCCTCCGGGGGCGGGCCTCCCTGATCACGCACACATGCCCCAGGTCTAGTGTGTTTGAACCACGGCGACGGCTCTGGGTGCTTCTCGCTTGCAGCCTGTTCTAACGGGAAGCCCATGGGAGGGGTCGTTCCCACTCAGTACCCGCCCTCCCGTGACTGTTTTTACTGGTGCCCAGGGGAGGGTGCGTTTTCCACCCGTCTGTAGACACAGACGATGCTCTGGCCTTCAGTGCGTGGGCAAGCCAGTTAAGCATGGAGCTTCGGGAGGAAGGCTGCTCGGCAGTGGTGAAGGCGTCCAGTGCCCTCCCTCCCCTTACCAGGGCTTCACAGACCCATGCGCACCTTTCTTCAGCCTTCGGGCTGCCCCTCTGCTCTCGGGCAGTGTCCACCTCCCCGGCCCACCGGTCTCCACTCTGCACCCAGTGGTCCCTCGGCCCTGCTCCTCCCACCCCCTCCTGCCCTGCCCAGCATGGCCAGCGTGTACCTGATTGATGGGCTCCCTGGTCATTGTGTTTTCCCTGGCACAGCCGTGCATCTGCAGGGGTCACATGGGTGCCCACAGATAGCCCGCACTCCTCTCTTCCTGCCCCTGTGAGGGTGTGGCCAGATGCTCCTAGCCTTGAGGAACGTGTGCTTTGAAGGGGACAGAGGCAGGAGGTCAAACAGGACGGTTTCCAGGGGTGCATGTAGAGCAAAAGGGCAGGAGGGCTGGTGATTTCCAGAAGGTTGGTTGGGGTGGGCTTGCAGAGATGAGGGGAGGGTCCCGGGACAGGCCTGGGAGCTGCCCTGTACTGGGGTGTGGGGGTCTGAGCATGTGCAAAACTCATAGAGTGGAAGGGCTTCCCCTCAACTGAGATGGGTGTGCAGTAGGGGGGTTGAGTTGGAAGCATTGCTTTAACGGGCTCACTCTGGTTGCTCTGTGCAGAACAGAGTACGGGGGGGCATGGGGGAGCCAGGAGGCCTGTGGGAAGCTGTTCTGTGTGATGGCGGTGGTGCGACCTGGGACACCCTGTGAAGGGGGCACTGCGAGATTCCCATGTGGAAGCCCCAGCTTCACAGCTTTGGTTAGAAATTAAGATTGCTTCTAGAAGCAAGCACAGGGGGAACCTCAGGTCCTTGGGGTGGGGTGAGGGCTCCTGACGATCGGATGGGGTGCTGTCACCAATGAAGAGGCTGATGTATCAGGGTTCATTCACATTTAAAACTTCTGTTTGTCCAACGCCACGGAGAGAGCGTGCACCGGGTCAGCCCAGATGGGGGCTGTGTGCCCCACGCAGAGCCTTGGTCCTGGAGGAGAGGCCTATCCCCGGTGGCGTCTTCGTGTCCATCTGCATGAGAAATCACGGTGCTGGCGTCTCATGTGGGGCGACCCCTGATTGGTGTGATTTCCCGTCATCTGGTTTAACACTTCTGGTGTGACTCCCACACCCCAGGGTCCGTGGACATCCGAGGCACCATGGGTGGAAAAGAAAAAGATGGCAAAGAGCCAAACCCTGAGGCTGCGCAGACCCAGGACGGGTGGACCCTGAGGTGCAGGCAGGAGAGGCTGCCTCAGAATTCAGAGCAAAACTGAAAACCAGAAATGGGAAATAGGAGAGAAAGATGATCCTCATGTAGGAGACCCAGCATTTCCCTGCAGGAAGGTTCTAGAAAAGAGAAGAAAATGCCAGAGAGACGGCCAAAAAAGTGGTTCACCAGAACAGCCAGCGGATCTCTGAGATGACTTGGCGCCTCCGTGCCCAGCACTTACTGCCAGAGCTCATGTCAGGAGGGTGGGGGGTGGGGGGCCAGGAAGACCGGGGAGGCCCACCCCTGCGTGACGGCCAGGCCTAGTGAGGTTGGGGATCCGTCTGGGGGCTCCGGGAGACTTGGGTGGAGAGGCCCTTGCGTGGCCCAGCCCGGCCTGCCTGCCGCTGAGCTGGTGTACGGAGCCGGCGAGCTCGCCGGTCGTTGGCCGGCACCGACCCTGACGGCGGTACACCCCTTGCCCTTCGGGTCGGGGCCCGCGCAGTGTCTGTGCTGGCTGGCCCCCGGTCGCGCGGAACGGCGCTCTGATGAGTATTTCTCCCTGTGAGTTTTGTATGAACGTCTGGTTTTAACGGGGGCATCGTTGGCCCTCACGTACTGCTTACTGCGGGCGTAGATGCGTTGCTGGCTTTCGCGGTGCTTCCTTTTCCTTGAAAGCTCCTGCCTTGCGCTGCACTCAGCAGAGGGACGGTGGTCCTTCTCCAGACACTGCAAGTTCTGTGGTGGGCTCCTGACTCGGTTGGCCCAGGGCGACCTGAGGTGGAGACAGCACGGCAGGAAGGCTGCCCTGTGCTGCGCTTTGCCGTGGGGCGGGGCCCCGAGTGGGGCTGCCTGCGGGCCACAGGAACGGTCGCAGGAACACGGCGGCCGCACTGCGCGCGCCCACTGGCCGCAGAGGATTCAAGGGATCTTTGTGTTGGATGCTTCCCCTCCGTCGCTGAGAAGCTGGTCTTTAGTTCCGGATGGGGGAGACACCCTCTGAAATTTGTTTTCCAATGGCTTCCCCCCCTTGGGTGGTGTGCAGGCGTCCACCATCTCTTCCCGCCTCCACGGCCAGCCGCTTGCTGGGGACTGGCAGGCCCTGGGCACCGTGTGGGTGTCGTGACCCCGGGTCCCTGGCCCTGCCTGGATCCTCCAGAGCTCAGTAGATGCGGCTCCACAGGCATCAGAGAAACGGGGGAGAAGAGCAAACGGCAGCAGAGACACGGCCCTGCCCCCCCCACCGGCCCTCTCTGCTCCTTCTCAGAATCTCAAAATACATCTTCAGAGGAAAATACACAAAATAAAAACGAGGGTACCGGTTGCCGGGGTTCCCAGGCCTGATTGTGAAGGGGTGGAATGGGGTCAGGCTGCTGCTGGGGTGGGGGGTAAGGTTCTGGATTGGGGTTTTAGCTTGGGAGACTGTATCTGAATGCTTTGCCGTGCCTTCCCGCTGCGGGCCTGCCCCTCGTCCTGGCCCTGGAGGAGCCCCGGAGCTGGCCGGGTGGGGTGTGCTGGGGCATGGGGGGGTGGCGCTCAGGGAGGGAGCCCCGGAGCTGGCCGGGTGGGGTGTGCTAGGGCGTGGGGGGCATCAGTGGACTTGGGGCTGGGGTCCGGGTGTCCAGTGCTCTGAGCGCACACCGCTTCCTTCCCCTAAGGACTTAGTGAACATCGAGATGTTCCTGACGGCCAAAGAAGTGGAGGAGTCCCTGGAGAGGCGCGAGACGGCCACCTGCCTGGCCTGGTGTCACGACAACAAGTCCCGGCTGCGCAAGATGAAGGTGTGCGGGCACCCGGGGTGGGGCTGTGGCAGGGTGCCCGGGGGGGTGTGCGGGGGGTGCTCTGGGCGGGGCAAGCACCTGCCCGCAACCAACGCGCCTGCACCTGTTGGTTCAGAGTTCTGTGCTTCTGGTTGAGACGGGGGGGTTGTTGGGTTTGGTGTGAGTTCGGGGTTATTTTTTGGTCGTGGAGTTTGGGTTTGAGGTGAAATCCCTAAAAAGTGCACCCACTTCTGCATTATGGTTTGGACAAGTGTTCTGAGCATGGGGTTCTGAAGGAGCGAGGTGCCGACTGCCCGCGTGTGCTCAGCTTGTTAGCCGCCCGCTGCTGGGTCCGTCCTGCCCCCGACCCCTCAGTCACTGATGCAGGAAAGCCCGGTCCAGAAGTGCTGTCCACCTGCAACAGTGCAGAGTTCTAGGCTGGGATCCTCTCCAGTACAGCTTTTCTTGAGACCCACGGCAGCTTCCAGAACAGATCCTTAGTCATGACCTAGAGAATCTAAACATGCTTACTGAAAGGTGTTGTCACCTGGGGCTTGCAGAAATGTTTAACTTCTATTAACCTTCCCCTGCCTCCGTTAGAAAAACTGTTTGTTTTCTGTTTTCTAAACCGAGTGCCTTTAACCTCTCCCCGGTTGAGCTTGTCGTGTGCACATAGTCACCAGCCAAGGGTGACGCTCTCTGCCACTCAGGGCCGCCAAAGCGAGCACGACGCGAAGACGGGACGGAAAAGTAGAGTGGCCAGTGGCTCCCCTAAAGAGAGTGAGGATCTTGGTATGGAAACCATAAAAGGAAAGCCAGAATTGGTATGTAACACTCACCCTGCTCTCCTGCTCCAGCCCCCACAGCTGTGCCACACGGTGGGAACCAGGTCAGAAGGAAAGCAGGCCCCCGTCCCGACAGGTGGTTTCTGCAAGCCCTGCTGCCTCCAGTCAACACTGCTGCTTGGCGAGGGCACGCTGCACAGCCGGGTCCAGGCGGGGCCGCGCAGCCGCTGTGGGAGCGGGAGGGCGGGCGGCCGGATCCACGCCAGCTGGCCATTCAACTGGAGAGAGTGTAACTAGCCATCCCAAAATGTGTTGGGAAGACCAGCTAATGACCTGAGAACGTGCTTGTTGTAACATGTCAGCTGGACAGAGTGGGGCCCCAGCGTGCCCAGACAGTGTGCACACGTGTGCCTACACTCATGAGCTCACACACGCAGGCCGGGGAGGGGACAGACGCCGGGGGGGGCTGTGCCCGACAACCACGGATCCCTCGCGTCAGTCGTGAGACTCTAGGCAAGAAAAGAAACTGAGACCAAGTCTCCCATAGCTGGAAAAAACTTGTAAGGTGACCGGTGAATATCTGTTGGGTTGACTCCTGTCTCCAGATGCTTAAGGACAGCCGAAGCAACAATACGCGCGCTGCGTGTGGGGACAGCCAAATGGTCACGAACGTGACTGCTCCAGGCCCCCCCGGCTAGAGCGGGAAGGGTGTGTTCAGCCCTCCGTGCTTGGCGTGACTACCTGGAATCGTGGTATTTTATGTTTGAGCCTGAGTACCTAGGTTTTGGTACACATGTATTTGTCTGGAAGGTCACCTGCTAGAGCAGAGCTGTGACAGTGGTGGGACACGTTTAGACATGTTAGTCGTGGGGACTTTACCAGGACTTTGTTCGTCTGGAATGCCCACTTGGGGGCTTCCTGCTGCTGGTAGAGCCCCTGGCGTCCCCTGAACACGGAAGCGGCGACCGCCCGGTGCCCTGGGGAGGCAGGCAGGGCATCTCCCCGCTGCTCTCTGCCCCTCGCCTCTTGCTGGTCTGGCCTTGGAAGGGAACTCATCACTGGGGCTGGTTTGTGCTGACGCTCAGCACATGGCCTCGGCTCCGTCCAGCGGGGGTCAGGACAGACTGCCGCCTTGGTGCAGAGGGCAGGGGAGGAGGGGGCCGGGGCAGGGAAACACACCTTGCTCTGCACACCTGTGGTGTGGCCGTGTTGGGCACCAGGTAGGTGGCTCTCTTGCAACTCTGCCTCTGACGGCCGGGTGGGCCCCAAGGTAGGTCCCATCGGCCCGTGTGCTGCACCCTCGTGTCCCTGGAACAGGGCTGGGGGCTTGGTGGAGGGCGCCCTCCCAGGGGCCTGGCTGAGCTGCTTCATCAGAACGCCAGTGCACACGCTTGGAGGCTCGGGTGGGAGCCGTCCACGTGACTGGTAAACCTGAGCGTAAGGGTTAGACGTTTGGGGTTGACTGACAGACTTGCCTCGTAGACTATCTGTCCACGTCATCTTGTGATCCAGGTGCTGTGGAAGGCAAAATGGCAAATGAGTGGAAAACGCAGAGATTTTTTTCTTGTTCTGTTAATTCCACGTATTCTGTATCTGGTTGGAAATACCTAGTGTTTTCTAAATTATCATCTTTGTAAAATAATCCAGTTTTCGTCTTAGGTTACGAAAGTTAACTTTGCCTGCTTTCCCCCATCCCCAGCCACAAGAGTTTGAGCCCAAATTGGACTGACATGGCTACAGTTGCAGAGTTAGCATTGGGGCTTCCATACAAATGATCCCGCTGGTGGCGCACCCTGCTAGCGTCCCCTCAGAGCCGCACGTGCCGTGTTTGGACAGATGCCTGTCAGACACGCAGCCGACTGGCACAGCAATGCGTCCTCTAGCAGCCGCCGCCCCAGACCTCTCGCGCCCTCGCGACCTCCGCAAACCCTGGGGCTTCCGCTGTGCTTGGACGGCTCTCACCAGCTCTGCGCTCCTCCCGGTTCCGCCCACCCTCCCCAGGGCCTTTGAACTGGCTCTTCCTCTGCCTGGAACATTCTCCCCAGGCGTCCCCGCGGACTGTCCCCACCTCATCCCCACCCCGCGTCCCTGCTCAGGGGCCTGGGTTCTCTCACCGGCTCTGCGTGCCTTGCTCCCGCTCCCGCTCCTCTGTGAGGCGCCACCTCCCAGCAGCCTCTCCTCCCACCAGGGTCAGGGCCTCACGCTGGGGCTGGCCTCCCTCTCCCAGAGCAGGTTGGGGTGGAATGTGTGCCACACGGGGTTCTGAGGCCATCTGAGGCTCTGAGGGCACGTCCCCACGCTTTTATACCTTTATGACCCTGAGACAGAATCCAGAGAGCTGCTTGGTCCTTGTAAAGGGGTTGGAAACTTGTCTTCTTGGGCTCCCTTGTTTCACGTGGGAAGTCACGTCTCACGCCCTCCAAGTGGCTGACGCCCTGCAGCCTCCTCCGGGTGACTCGTTCCCACGCCTGGCCGGTGGGTACGCGCTCAGGGCCTGCTGCGGCAAGAGCGCTGGGCCCGGGTGCCGTCAGAGCCAGGAGAGCGTTGACTGCAGGCTGAAGTTACAGTTTGGGTATCAGACCCACCTCCCCGGTGGCTCTAAGCTTCCTTGGCGGAGTGTGCAGTGTCCAGCTGGTCTGGAGGGGTCAGCCCGTGGGCATGGCTCTGTGGCGACCCTCCCCAAGCCTGGTCTTGTCTTTACCCCCAGAGTTGCCTGGAGTTTAGCCTGAGGATTCAGGAGTTCATTGAGCTCATCCGGCAGAACAAGAGACTAGACGCCGTGAGGTACGTGGAGAGGGGGCAGACGGCCTCCTTGACTTCATGGGGCAGGCCTTCTGAAGGGCTCTAGGGGATGAAGTGTGGAGTGTCCAGCAGGTCTGCCCTGACCGGACAGAGAGCACGAGGCCGACTTAACGTGTGGGCTCAGGGCCCCTGGTTCTACGGCTGTGTCCACCCACCCCAGAATGGTGCTGGCCCTGGGGTGGGCAGGGGGAGCCTTTGGGAAGGAGGCTGGTATGCGGGTATGGGAGCATGGGTTCCCTCTCAGGTGCAGGCAGTGCAGGAAGGCCCGGCTCGAGCCCAGTCTGTGCACCCCAGGGGTGGGGGGTGGGCTCTGTGTCTCTGAGAGTTGGATGGGGACTTATTGCAGCACTGGGAGAACCGGACTGTCTCTGGGTCCTCCCAGGGCTGTGTCGTCGGGGTTTGGGTTCACGTCCACCAGGGTCACTTGGAAGGGCTTGGGCCACTGCCTCTGGGTGTTTTCTGCATGGGGTTCTGTGCTTGGTGCCTCGAGCCTCGTCCCCCTCCCTGTTCCCCTTGAGGAGGGGGACCCTCGCCTCGCTGAGCTGTGGCAGACCCTGGCCCAGGTCACACGAGATGGGGCTTACTTGGTACTGAGGGTGTGGCATGTGCTGCGCATAGATTCTTGAAGGTAAAAAGGCAAACTCAGACGACCTGAAATGTTTTCTAGACACGCGAGAAAGCACTTCAGTCAGGCCGAAGGGAGCCAGCTGGATGAGGTCCGCCAGGTCATGGGCATGCTGGCCTTCCCACCAGACACACACATCTCGCCCTACAAGGTAAGCCATGCCTGTGGGCCCCCGGGGCTGGGGAGGGCCTGGGTGTGTGACCAGCACCCCATGTGGGCTTTTGCCGTCTTCTTGCTCCCTGTTGCCGGTGAGGAGCTTGGGTCAGAACCGCACATGAGAGGTTTCAGCCTAGGAGGGACTTCAGCTCTGAGTGCCTCCACCTGTCGCCCTCCCTGTCTCCCTCGCTGCCAGTGTTCTTCCTGACCTCCGTCCTCTCTCCCCTGCTCCCCTTGGCCTTGGGGGTCCACGTGGGGTCTGGGCGGGCGTGGTCACGCAGCATCACTAGCCAGCCTGCTCGGCGTTGCCAGGGCAGTGTGTCCGGTGTCCGGCCCCCCTTTGGAAACCTCGGGGCAGCCCTGGTAATCTCTGATCCGCCTTTGGGGTCCTTCTTCCCTTGTCTTGAAAACTGTCAGATGTTTGCAGCTGAACTGCTCACGGTGCCGTCCTGGAGAACCTAGGAGTTCAGCAGCCTTCCCCCATTCCTCCTGGCTCCTCGCCCTTGGGGGCCCCTTGGCCATCAGCCCTTGGTCACGCCCGCCCTGGTGTCCTTAGAAAGGCTCGCTTGGCTCTGACCTTAGTGTTCTCTCTGAGCAGCTTTCTCGTTTTTCGCAACACAGATGGAAGTTCCCAGATCATCAAGTTTTGCTTTCTTTAGACGAGCAGTCCCACTCCGAGGTCCGTTTTCTGTCCGCTCGTTTAGTGGAAAGGCTTGCAGAGAAGCTAGGTGCACCTCCAGCCGCTTGCCTGGGACGCTGCAGCCCCAGGTCCAGTGTCCTCGTACACAGGCACCGCCTTCCCCCGCTGCGGCCGGGCTCTCTGCCACCTATGACAGGCCCGCTCTTGCTGGAGACTGGGGCCCTCCCAGCCGCGTCCACGTCTTAGGTGTTTGTGGCTCAGTCCCTCCCTCAGTTTTCTGTCGTCTGTCTGGGCTGCTGTGACAGAATCCCACAGGCTCGGGTCGGGAAGCCCGAGATCAGGGCACTGGCAAGGTTGCGGGGGGCTCTTCCTCCTGTGTGTTCTTATGAGGAAACTAGTTCCTGAAGACCCCACCCTCAGGACCCTGTGGGCCCGGAGGTCCACCTGCCGACAACGTCAACAGTGGGGGACACAAGACGCTCAACCACGGTGTCGTCCCCGGCTGCCAGCCCATCCCCCGAAGGACTGAAGTAAACTGCCTTCCCTGTGGGCTGAGCCGGGCTTGTTCCCTGAGCCGTGATGGTGGGTTCTGCCCAGGGGCACCCCCGCTGGCTGGAGTGCTCGGCCACAGGCCGTCTGCAGGGTGGCTGGAAGCGTGTCCCCCGAGACTGGACTCAGCACAGCTCTGTGGTGTCGGAACGTCCTATAATCAGCCCTCCGGCCACAGGGATCTTGCCGGAGTGAGACCGAACTTCAGCTGGCAGCCTCTTCGGTCTCTCTTCCCTGCTCTGGAGAAGCTTTGTGAGAGGTGCAGTCAGGGCCTGCCCTGGGGAGCGAGGCGTCCCACTTGCGAAGAGCGAGGCCAGTGCTCCGTCCGAGCCGGAGGGCCGGCCCTTGGAGGCACCGAAGTGGCGTGAAGAGAAGCCACGCAGCCATTGTGGAGCCAAGGCCGGCGGGGGACAGGCACAACCCATCGACGCACAGCCTCGTACCTGGACACGGATGGCACACCGGAGGAAGGCCAGGGTGCACACAGAGGGGATGGCGCCGGGTGGGGGCACGGGACCCTGAAGGGCAGTGCTGGGGCGGGGACAGAGCCCTCACCCCCTGTGGCAGGTGTGTCTCAGTGGGTCACACGAGAAGCAGGACGACGTGCCCTGGTCAGGGAGAGGTGGCCGCACCAGAGGCCCAAGGCCAGGGGTCTCAGGGAGGGGGGATGCGGAGCCTCTGGACTCTGGGCTTGGTCCTCTGTGGACTTTGCTTCGATAAAAACGACATTAAAGTTGTGTTTTTGTAATGTTGGAGTTAAGCGTGATGTCTGCCTGTGGAGCCCCGCTGAACGGGGGTGCCCACGCTTCCTCCCTCAGTGTGGGGCCCTGACCCCAGTGCTTGACGTGCAGAGTTTCCCTCGTGCTGGCATGCGCCCTCCCCTCCCTTCTCTTGTTGACTCTGAACCTGGGAAGCCCGGGGACACACACAATGACCAGGCCTGAGGTTCTGGAGTGAGACTTTTCCCCCCGAGACCTCAGTGCTGTTCTTCGGCCCACTGTGTTCCCTTCCTGCCGTGAGGCCACAGGCCCCCCCCAACCCTTGAGCATCTGTGTCCACGCAGACCACGTGGCGGCGGTCCTTACGTGGACTCGGGAGTCCAGGCTGCAGGCGCCCCGCACTGCTCTGTGGCCGGTGGGCGCGGGTTCGTGGGGCCCGGGCCGGCGTGGGAAGGGTTTCTTGTGTGTTCTTGTCGGGGACGGCACTGTGCCGTCCCCAGCACCGCTCTGCCCTGTCTCTTCCAGGACCTGCTGGACCCCGCCCGGTGGCGGATGCTGATCCAGCAGTTCCGGTACGACAACTACCGGCTACACCAGCTGGGGAACAACTCTGTGTTCACCCTCACGCTGCAGGCCGGCCTCTCGGCGATAAAGACACCGTATCCTTCTGGCGGGCAAGGGCGCCCGCGTGCCCCGCCCTCCTTAGCCGTGGTCCCTGTCTGGGGTCCTCTGCCCTCCAGCGAGCAAGCAGGTGCTGCACCCCTCCCACCTTGAGACCTGTGCTCTCGGTTTGTGTTGTGGGGTCTCCGTCTCAGGCCCTCGGGGTGGCGGTGGGGCCGAGCCTCTCCCCTTGGTCTGTGGAAACCTGTGCACGCAGCCCCGCTGAGCGTTCACGCAGCCCCAGACGCTGCCTGGCACACTGCTCGCGGGTCGGAGGCTGGTGTTGGCGCACCTTCTGGCAGTTTCCCTGTGGGATTCCTGAGCGTCCCCTCAAACTTCTCTTGCTCTGAGCCCTGGCCGCCCCCGGTCCAGCGTCTTTGAAACTGTGTGTGGCAGAGCGGCCATCCCCCTGCCGCCGGAGAGCTGCGGGGTTGGGACCCCAGCACCCGAGGGTCCCTCTCGAGTGCGGCATGTGGGCCCCGGGGGACCCCAGGCTGTTGGCTTTCGTGGCCATCTGTGTGATGGGGCGCAGCGCGGGCTCAGGAGCGTGAGAACGTGGCAGGTGCACGGGGCGGGGGCGGCGGAGTCCCCCGGCTGGGAGGGGCACGGCCTCAGACCCTGTTCCTGCGGGATGCGGTGTTGGCTGTGGCTTGATTTCTGCCGTGCAGCCTGGGTGGCCTCAGCCTGCACGGTGCCCCCCCCCCCACCCTTCTGTGGCTTGATTTCTGCCGTGCAGCCTGGGTGGCCTCAGCCTGCACGGTGCCCCCCCCCCGACCCTTCCTTAACGCGAGCACAGACAGTGCTACAAGGAGGACGGCAGCTCCAAGAGCCCCGACTGCCCCGTGTGCAGCCGCTCCCTGAACAAGCTGGCGCAGCCCCTGCCCATGGCCCACTGCGCCAACTCGCGCCTGGTCTGCAAGATCTCGGGCGACGTGATGAACGAGAACAACCCGCCCATGATGCTGCCCAACGGCTACGTCTACGGCTACAACGTGAGGGGCCGCGGGGGCCGCGGGGGGCGGGGGGGCAGGAGCAGGGGGGGGGCGGAAGGGGAGGGCGGCTGGCGGCGGGCCTGGCCGTCCTGAGGGTCTGCCCCAGGTGCCTGGCAGCTGCGCGGGGTGCGGGGTGCGGTCCCCGGGCGCGGTCCCGGGCGCGGGCGGCTCGGCCCTGCGCCGCCCCTGCAGAGCCGGGCGGCGGTCGAGAAGCCTCCGGTTCAGGGCGCGCAGGCAGGCGGGCCTCCCGGAGGCAGCATCCGGGGAGGTCCCGCGCGCGGTCCCTGCGCTCATGCGCCGCACCCCCCCCCCATTGTTTTTCAGTCTCTGTTGTCTATCCGTCAAGATGACAAAGTCGTTTGCCCGAGGACCAAAGAAGTGTTCCACTTCTCCCAAGCCGAGAAGGTGTACATCATGTAGGCCGGGCCGCCCCGCGCGCCCCCGCCCGCCTGCGTTTCTGTTTCTTGCGACCAAAGATCAGTGAGCGCCGATGGGTACTCCTAGGAAGGGAGGAGTCGGATCCGCACGCCTGTGCTTGGGACGGCCTTTCCGCCGGTAGGACTCCGAAGCGCGCGAGCTACCTGCCGCCTTCCCCTTCCAGAGGGACCTTCCCGCCGCCGCTGAGCGAGCTTCGGCCGCTTCGGAAACAGGAGGCGGTATTTCCCGCGCCCCCGACCCCGCCTCCTCCGCCCGCCCCGCCCGGCGGCCCGCGGGGCTGCACCTGGGGCTGCACCTGGGGCTGCACCTGCACCGCCCTGGGGGCGCTTAGGGTGTGCTAGGTTCAATGTCACGTCATTCGTGCGCCTTATTTCCTGCTTGAGAATGTATTCACGTGGAAATCCACTGGACCGGGTTCTGCAGAGGCCTTGCCGACGGCTCCGTAGCTGTAGATCTAATGCTGTTCGTTACAGAAACTAGTAGTTCAGTCCGAGTAACCACCGATGACTTTTCAAATCAGATGAACCATTGTAGTTTACACAAAACCATCCCGTAGAGGTTTGTATTTAGCGCTTATTTTTGCATGTTGATGTTGATTAGCTAATAAACTGTAAATGTAAAACCTGTTAATAAAAGGGTTTTCTATTTCTTATGTCTGTGTGAGGTAGAAGCTGCTGTGCATCCTAACGCCCTCGCTGGTGTCTGCTCACCCCAGGCCCCCGGTCTGCGGCCACGCGGCAGGGTGGGTCCTGGGGCCCCCACGTTGCCCCACCCCAGAGTCCTGCTCCAGCGCCCGCGGGGGGCGCTGTGCTCTGCTTTAGGGGAAGCCAGTGTGGCTGGGCCCTCCGAGTGGGGTCTCCCACGGCCAGTGAGCACCTGGCCCACACGCTGAGCCCCCGCTCAGAGCACTGGGTGGGTGCGGGGAGGCAGCGGCTCCTTCCCACCATGCCCTCCCGCCATGCTGCCCTGGCCCCCCGGCCTCACTCTGACCGTCATCTGTGCCGCCTCCCCTTTTCCTTCCCAACGTCGTGAGGACACTTGCATGTGCGCACATGCATGTAGCCACACACGCCACTCCTGCCCTCAGGTCCCTCCTGGTCCATTCCGGGGACCACGTCCATGGGGGGAGCCGCTCAGCTGTGGGGCAGCCGCGGGCAGCCACAGGGTGAGCTGAGCATAGCAACTGGTCCCGGCTACGCTGGGGAGGTTTGGGCTGTTTGCAGATGAAGCTGCCACAAACGAGCTCACGTGGGACTTGCCAGACACCCACGTTCTGAGTGGCGCTGCTGGGTCCCACGTTAACTTCAGTAGATACGGATGGCCTGTTGGCCAAAGTGCTCGTACTAGCCCACACCCGCCCACCTTGGACGCAGCTCCACCTGCCCTGCGTCCCCACCAGCGCTTGGCACTGGGCGGGCGTCTCGGACTTGAGACATTCTGTTGGCTGTTGGCTCCCTGAGGGTCTTAACTGACGTAGCGGTTGTACCCATCGGAATACACTGGCCCTCAAGAAACAGTGGGATGAGTTTTGATAAATGTCCCAGGTATAAGCACCAAGCCCAGGTAGACGGCGTTCCCAGAGCCCAAGAGGCTGTACCTTCTGTCCTCCCAGACGATCTACACTCTGCTGTTCAATCAACACTGGGACTTCTCTCAGCACAGGTGGTCAGCCTTACCCTCGTGTATATCAAAACACAGACGATGTGCTCCTTTGTGCCTGACTTGGTTCAGCAGCTGCCTCAGGTGCATCCCCGTGGCTACGTGTGTCCGTGGTCCTCCTGCGTCGCTGAGGAGTAATCCACGCCACGTGCACCACAAGCTGTCCGTTCTCCCCTCAGTGGACATTGGGTTTGTGTCGTTTCTAGTTCCTATAAATCAAGCTGCTATGAACGCTGCTGGAACAGTTCTTCGTGGACATTATTTTCATTTCTCTTGAGTAAATGTCTGGGAGTAGGATAACTGAGTCATGCTGCTGTGATACATTTACCTTCACAACTGCCAAGGCTTTTCCCAAAGTGCTGGTAACAGTGTACGTGCCCGTGGGCAGTGTGTGAGTGTTCCAGTTCGTCCGCATCTTTGCCAGCACCTGGTGGAGTCATTCTTTGCGTTAGCTGCTCAGGTGGGTATGTGCCGGCACCTCTCTGCGGGCTTACTGTGTGTTTCCCTGATGGCCAAGGATGCTGAGCTCCTTCCGATGTGCTGAGTAGTTAGTCCTGTAACTGTTCAAGTCTTCTGCCCATTTTTTATTGGATGACCTTTTTATTTTCCTTGTAGAAATACTTTATATATCTGGGGCAGAGATCCTTTGTCTGATACGTGTATTTGCACTTTATTGCCTATTACTTGACCAGCAGAGGTTTTATTTTTAGTAAAGTTCAGTTAACGTTTTCTTTTATGGCTCATGACTTTTTGTGTTCTGGGAAATATTTGCCCATTCCAAGGTCCGAATCATATTCTCCTCTGTCTTCTAGAAGACTTAGTTTTAGCTTTTGTTTAGGTTTGTAACCCGTTAATATGAACATGTGTGGTGTGAGGAAAAGGCTGAGGACCATTTCCCCCCATGTGTTCCTCCTGTCGTTCCAACATCATTTGTTGAAGGCTTTTTTGTCTCCACCAAATAATGCTAAATCCCCAGGCTGTAGTTCTCTCAGTCTATTTCTGGATACTCTCCTCTGCTTAGCTGCCCTAGGGTTGTCCTCACCCCAACACCCCAGCATCTGGGTCACTGCAGCTTTAAAGTACAAATGAGCCCTTTTTGTTCTATATAGTTTCTACTTTTTCAAAATTGTTTTGACTGTTTGCTTGCATTTCCACATAAGTTTTGGAATCAGCTTGTAAATCTCAGCTTGCTGAGATTTTAATTGGAATCGCATTGAATCTATAGATCAATTTGGGGACTGTCTTAGTCTGTTCAGGCTGCCATAACACCACCACAGACTGGGGTGCTTGAACAACAGAAAAACATTTTCTCACAGTTTTGGAAGCCAGAAGTAGATTGGTTGCTAGCCTCTCACTGGCTTGCGGACGGCCTTCCCTTTGTAGGTGTGGAAAGACAGCCTTACTATGAGGACACTAGTCCTGTCGGATGAGGACCCATCTCATAACTTCATGTGAACTTAGTCACCTCCAAATACAGTCAGCATGGGGGTCAGGGCCTCAACATGAGTTTGGGTGAGGGGGACAGTCCAGCCCACAACAGGGACTTAAAAATCGTGACCATATTGAGGCCACCAGCCTGTGAATAGGGTGTTTTCTGTATCCAGACCTCACCTGCATTACAGTTCTCAACGCGCTTTGTTCATCCTAAGTATCTCATCATTTTACTGCTATTGTCAGTGTGATTTTTAAATTTAACTTCCCAATTGTTCCAGTGTGGTAACATATAGACACATCATTGATTTTGTATATTGATCTTGTAACCTGTG